TCTGAGTAGCTGGGAATAAAGGTGTGCACCACCACACCTGGCTAATTTTTCTATCTTTTGTAGACATGGGGTCTCACTATTTTGCCCAAGCTGGTCTTGAACTCCTGGCGTCAAGCAATATTCCTGCCTTGGCCTCCCAGATGCTGGGATTACAGGTATAAGCCACCACACCCAGCTGACAAAACAAACCTTACTATGCACAGTGTAGTAAAAATACCAATTAGTGTCATCATCAAACACTAAAATTTCTCAATTCCTTGATACAATTAAACAACTGAAATACTGTTACGCACTACTCTTATTCTTTCCCATCCCACTTCTCTGTAATCCAATGTCTGAATGAGGTTTCTCATAAAAAGATTTCTTAGGTGTGACAATGGTCTTGTGGTTATATAGGAGAATATTTCATTCATAAGAGATACATGCTAAAATATTTAAAGTTAAAATGTCATAATATCTACAAGTTATTTTCAATGGTTCAGCAAATACACACACACACAGATAAAAGGAAACATGGAAAAAATGTTCTCAACTGCTGAAATAGGTAATGGGTATTCACTGTAATATTATTAACTTTTCTATATTTAAAAATAGTTTTAGAATAAATAATTGGGGAAAAAATGCCTTTTTACACCACTTAAAACATACACACAGGCCGGGCACGGTGGCTCATGCCTGTAATCCTAGTTCTCTGGGAGGCCGAGGCGGGCGGATTGTTTGAGCTCAGGAGTTCGAAACCAGCCTGAGCAAGAGGGAGACCCCGTCTCTACTAAAAATAGAAAGAGATTAATTGGACAACTAAAAATATATAGAAAAATTAGCCGAGCATGGTGGCGCATACCTGTAGTCCCAGCTACCCGGGAGGCTGAGGCAGGAGGATCACTTGAGCCCAGGAGTTTGAGGTTGCTGTGAGCTAGGCTGACGCCACGGCACTCACTCTAGCCCGGGCAAAAGAGTGAGACTCTGTCTCAAAAAAAAAAAAAAAAAAAAACATACACACAACCAAAGTAGCACCAGCAAAGTGAGAAGCAATGCAAGGCCAAGAGAAGGTACCTGGAGCAAGAGCAAGAGCAGAAAGATGCCAGAAGTCATGGAAATTTTTATTTACCTTAAATGTAAAACTTGCATCAAATATTAGCACCTTTTCATGTCCTGTGATTCCTCCATTGTAAATAACTTGGCATCTTTTGGATGGTCCCGTCTTAGGGCATTTGAAGAGACGAAATGTTGCAGAAACAAAACGACAATCACCTAAAAACAGAATTTACTCATGGTTCGTCTCCAGCACTCCAACAGCTATTGGTTTGCTCAGCAGCTGAGGAACAAATATAAAGATGATTTTCTGTTTTGCATGTTATCAATTATTTTTCTGGGTACTCCCTCTATTTACTGAATGACTTCAAAGTACTTTATTAAATACCAAACTTTTGAGGGGTTACCATGATACAGGAGACAAGATGGATATCTCCAGGTGACACAAAATCTCCCTAAATGAGACTCACTCAAAGGCACTTAATGATCACCAAATCTGAACCATTCAGTTGCAGTTATAATAGTCCCTGCTGCTGTTTCTTACCAATAACCCTCTCCAGTTCCTTGTTTTGAATTGTAATGAGATTGGCAGTGACCAAACGTGGAGGGCAGAACCCACTTTTTTGGGCAAGGATGGCAAGATCCTTCCAGTACAAAGCACCACCCAGGCACTCACCTAAGAAAAAAACAAAAAACAAGCCACAGGGCAATCAATACTTAATATGGCATTAAGAGAATTATTCTTCTATATCATTGATTAGGACATGGTATTAGTTAAAACATAAATCCTACAAATAGAAGCTAACCTGAGGTCTAGAAAGTCATGGCTAAGACTGGGTATGCTAGCTAATGGTGTCTGGGTATCATTCACAGGATAGTCACTAATGGATTGGTTCTACCCGGCTGTGATCATAATATTCATGTATATATTAGGTTACTTTCTGAAAAGTGCTATGTTATGTGAATAAAATAGTATAAAAGCAAAATTATAACATTGCCTCTTAGTTCCAGATTAATCTCCCAATGATCTGCTACCAGAACGATAACTACTACTAATGTTCATAAGGCATTTTACAGTTTTTTTCAAGCACAAAAATGGTAATAGAAGTTTTATTTATTACATCAGTAAATGGGAAACAACCTAAATGATCACCAATAGAGAAATGGTTTCAGTATGGTACTGCTGTTCAACACAATTGTATAATATAAACATTTTTTAAATGTTTTTTAAAATTTTAGGCTAAATAAAATTAGAATACTAAGTTCTAGATATGGCATGCTGCCAATTTTATTATACACACACACAGGAAAAAAATAAACTAGAAGAATACTTACTAAAATATTAAAGAGATTATCACTGGATTTTATACGATTTTAAGTAATTTTTTTAAGAGATGAGGTCTCGCTATGTTTCCCAGGCTGGACTCAAACTCCTAGGCTCAAGAGATCGTCCCGCCTCAGCCTCCAGAGTATCTGGGACTACGGGTGTGCGCCACTGCACCCAGCTTAGTAATTTTTTAATTTTTTCTTTTTTCTGTGTTTGCCAACTTTTAACAACGTCCATTTATTACTGTATAGTAAGAAAAAGTTAACATAATTATTTGAAAAGAACTTTTGATTTCATAGTCAGACTGACCAAAAGCATGCATTTATCTCATTAACTTCCTGAGAGTCTATTTAAATGACAATAAACAACACAATAATGATGAGAACCTAAGGGAATTAAGGGGGCACCAGCTCTGGAACAGTTGCCCTCATTTCCACACTACAGTTTTCAAAGTATTTCTCACATTCATTATCACATTTAATCTTCATAACAGCCCTTTACTGGCAAATTGTATTACTATTTACATTTTACAGTTTGGAAAACAATAACTCAAAGAGATTCATTAAATTGTCCAAGGCCGTATCACTTTTGAGTGGCAGAGAAAGAATGGAACCTCAGCTTTCCGGCCTAATCCCATGCGATGGCATGTCACACAGCCTCATCCTAACCAGTAGAACGGAGCTCCGCACGTGAACGAGCATCTGCCTTAAAACAAAACAAAACAAAACAAAATACCTACCCCACAAAACTTTGTGTGTCCTGATTTCTTCTGGCAATTCAAGGCTAGCATAGACGTCACTGAAATATAGCTCCCCACCACACTGAAACGGAGACATGTTAGTCCAAACAAGGTTAAAGATTACATTGGCCCAGATTACAAAGAAAAGGAGGAAGGAACAAAATCAATTTTCAAAACCAACAGAAATGTTTGAGCTGGCCCTTTGTGAACAAATAACAATCAATAGGCAAGTGCCAAGGTTTCTTTTTCCCAACGGCCTATTACCTCGACAGGTAATAAAATCACTCTCTAAGAGTGTCTCTCTCCTAAATAAAGATACTCAGGCTACCTAAAGTTTTAGCCAACCTGAACCAAAAGCAGCTCCAGGTTGTTGTATAACTAACAGAAGATATAAACAGTATTCATAAACTCTTACCTCTTAAAAATAAGTTTTTGTGATGTTGTTATTTACTTTCATAACACATTATATTTTTAAAAATATTGTCCTTAAAATGTAAAGCAAATGAGTGATTAGAAACTTAAAATTTTATTTAGCTAATTTCAAAAGCCTGGAGATCTAGATTCTATAGTAATATTTCTACCTTTTATAAGTATATCTTGGTAAAGATAGTGAACTGGCCTATGAATTGGCATACTAACAAGGACATTATTAAATCATTTCTATATAGTTATTTTTATTTGAGCTTTACTACAGCCAAAATGTCAGAATTGTTTGTTTGTTTGTTTAGAGGCAAGGTCTCGCTACATTGCCCAGGCTGGAGGCAAACTCCTCAGCTCAAGCAATCCTCCTGCCTCAGCCTCCCGAGTAGCTGGGACGACAGGCAAGCATGCCACCTGCCCAGCTAAAATCTCCTATCTTCTACTATGAAAACACACATCTCATGATACACATGAAGGCTATAGAATTCCTGCAAGTTTTTCTTTCAGAAAGCAATTAATGTAAAGCCGGGCATAGGGGTTCACACCTGAAATCCTAGTACTTTGGGAAGCTGAGGCAGAAGGATTACTTGAGGCCAGGAGTTTGAGCAACACAGCAAGGCCCTGTTGCTACAAAAAAAAAAAAAAAATTTCCAGGTGTGGTGGCGCATGCCTGTAGTTTTAGCTACTCTGGAGGCTGAGGAAGGAGGATCGCTTGAGCCCAGGAGTTTGAGGTTGCTGTGAGGTATGATGACGCCACGGCACTCTAGCCCGCCGGGCAACAGAGTGAGACCCTGTCTCAAAAAAAAAGAAAAGTAATTAATGTAAAAGTTCCATCTACTGTAACTTCCCGAAGATCTGAAATCATGACAGATAAGAAATAAATAGCACTCAGAGAAACTAGAAGTGTTAGAAGAGAGTATATTCTTTTTTTTTTTTTTTTTTTTGAGACAGAGTCTCACTCTGTTGCCCAGGCTAGAGTGTGGTGGTGTCAGCCTAGCTCACAGCAATCTCAAACTCCTAGGCTCAAGGGATCCTCCTGCCTCGGCCTCCCAAGTAGCTAGGACTACAAGTGCATGCCACCATGTCCAGCTAATTTTTTCTATTTTTAGTAGAGATGGGGTCTCACTCTTGCTCAGGCTGGTCTCGAACTCCTGAGCTCAAGCGATCCTCCCGCTTCGGCCTCCCAGAGTGCTAGGATGACAGACGTGAGCCACCGCTCCGGCCATAGAAGAAAGTAAATTTATAGCAGCCTTTAGTAATCAGTCCAAAGTTTCTTGCAGCTCTGCAGTAGCTATTCTAGGATCACGTACAGAGGCAAACAGGAGAGACACCCAATAAAGCAAATATCTTAACATATTCAGTGACAATTGTCACCCTCATATTTACTATCTTTTACAAGCTGAGAGAGAAAGAATTCATACCTAGGGTATTCCTGCCTCTCCCCTTTTTTGCCATCTCTTTTTAATTTCTGGATAAACTAAGAGTTTGAGCTCTCAGTTCCAGGAAGAAAGAACAGGATTGGCCGAGCGTGGTAGCTCGATCCTAACACTTTGGGAGGCCAGGCAGGAGGATCGCTTAAGCCTGGGATTTTGAGACCAGCCTTAGCAACAGCAAGACCCCATCTCTATCAAAAATAGAAAAAATTATCCAGGTGTAGTGGTGAGCACCTGTAGTCCCAGCTACTTGGGAGGCTGAGGCAGGAGGATCCCTTGAGCTCAGGAGTTTGAGGTTGCAGTGAGCAATGACGATGCCGGGCAATAGAGGGAGATCATGTCTCAAAAAAAACAAACCAGGACTGATCCCATCAGTTCTCACTGATGTTGAAAGATAAGTTATCTCACTCTTCCCCTCACCTTCAGCACTTGATACACCTCCTGCAGCACGTGTTGTTTATCAGGCACAAGGTTAATAACGCAATTTGATCTAAAAAAGAACAGATGGAATGTCAAGCAAATCTACACACTATTTCAGAGCTCTTCTAATCTTTTCAGTCGCTAAAGGTGGCTTCTACCATTTTGTCAAAGCTATACCATTCTTCCTGCCTCCCTCCTCTCTTACCAATACTCAACTCTTCCCCAACGTAAGGGAGATAGGCAGTGTTTAGAATCTCTATAAAGTGTTAGCAGATTTGAATGTGCAGGAAAAAATATCAGACATGATTCTTATTTGTTTCTGACCTGATGTTCACCATTCAACAAGATGAAACCTGGGACCAGATTCCTACTGCACAAGGCATTTCCCCACATAAATAGGCCAAGTTCCTCAAAGGCAGCTTTCCTAAGGTGGTCACTTGGGCATGATTTCACAACAACTCACAGGGAAAAAAGAAACATAGAATCCTATAATTTGACATGAAAATATTACTAAAGATAACAGGTCAGTGTATATTGTAGGAGCAAACTTAGTGGTCTTGATAGTGTATTTGGGTTCATTGGTTTATGGTTAAGTTGCAAGTAAGTTCTCTCTTGGCCTAGCGTGTTCTGCTGCCAGTGGGCTACAGGCAGCTCAGACCAGGTCCCTCCCTCTGTTAAGACATGCTAAGTTTAGTTTAACAGCCTAAATGAGAGTCAGTTCAGCAAAAAGTGGTGACATTTGTGTGTTCAAATGGAAATGGACTATACTTGTGGCAGTAAGGATAACGACCTACATAACAACATCATAACTCTCATTCTTGACTCCAGCCTCTCCCAACTTCTCAATGCAGCCATGAATAAAAGTCACATTGGGTGCCTGGAAGCCAAATTTTTGCATGTGATAGTCAAGATACTTTTTAGCCATTTCCAACTAAAGGAAGAAAAATACAGATGTGATAATCAAAGTTTTAAAAAATATTCTACTTTTTTCCTAAAAATTTCCTATTATTTAATATTACCAGAATATACCCCCAGATTAATTTGAGTAAGTAGACAAGGTTCCTATGGACACGTAGGAGAAACTACAGCCTGGGACATAAACTTCCTGCTACATGCGTTTGCTTAAACAAACTCTTCATTCAATAAGAAAATCATTCAGCACAGATGGCAGAAGGAAGGAAAAGATCAAACTCCACTGGGCTGTCATGATATTCATATACCAGATCAAGCCTCTGACTTTGTGTTCTCCCATAAGAGCCCCTAATTGTCAAAGTTCTCAGCTTCCGGGACATGAAGTGCTAGAGGCACAAGTGAGCATTGCTAAATAGCAGTCTTGTAAATTATCTTTGAAGGGTCACAAAGAAAACAACTTTATCTCTAAAAGAGTGCTTTTGAAATTTTTTTCCTCCTTATCCTCCAAATCATTGCTTCACCTGATCTTTGGTCATGTCTATTCCAGTGATGTGTCCCTTCTCACCAACCAGCTGACTAAGCGCATAGCAATCTCTGCCACTTCCACTGCCCAGATCCAAAATCCAGCAGTTTTCTAGATGCTCAGGGATGACCAGACCACAGCCATAATACCTGGGAAACGGAAAGCGCATATGTTTTCCTCAGAGACTGTAAGACATGCAACCACTAAATCTTATACATCTTTCCTTTCTTCGTTCCTACCTCCCTGCTTTCCTTCCCTCATTCACTCATATTTCTCTTTAGGTGTTTAGTCTCCACCACTAAACTGGACGCCCTGAGAAGGCTGGACTATATCTGCTTTAACACAGTAGTATTGAGCACTGTGGTAGATATACTAAGAGTTAAATAAGCCATCTAAAATATTTATTCAATGAATACATTTAGGCATTCGCGGAGCATCTAATTCAGGCCCAGTACTGTGCTAGCTATTGAGGAAGAAATGTAAGATTCCATCCTCTGGGTGTATTTACTCTAACTAGGGAGGCAAAACATGGGCACAGAAAACAGGCACTGGCCACCACGTCCGGCCTCATTGGAGCCTCTTAAACAGAGCAGTAGGATGATCAGTGCTGACCTTGAGGATTTTTACAATAGATAAGGCGAGCCGGGTGGATTGGTGGTGATGGGTTAATTTCCTAGTGACTGGCATCACTATCTTTCTAGAAAGCTGAAATCTGGGGTCTTCCTGGGGGCAGCACAGGACACTCTACCTCAAGGCTACTTCTTCATGTACATTTTGCAAGGCTTCCCGGATGTGCTTGGGGACCGGTCTAGCTGCGGTGACACAGGCATTGGTCTGGAGGTCTGCCGACTTCTTCAGCACCTGCCCATAGTAGGTCTGACCCAGCGGCCCAGAGTGGAGAGAGGTGAGAAGCGGAAAGAAAAGCTGCAGCTGGTGTCTGCAGCGCGAGGGCCCCACCACCACCCCTATCCCCACTTGGCCCACCTCTGTTCCCGCCAAAGTTCTAAGGCCACACCCTGCCTTGTCCCCACTCCAGGGGTCCCGGGGCCGGGCAGAGGCGCTGGCCAGGCAGAGCTTCCATAGGCCTAGGCTGCACCTCGGCAGTTCCGGGCCCCACAGCTCTCACCTGCACAGACTCCCGGATCTCGGCGTCGCGGGGGGCGGCCACTGTCGGGAGGGGAAAGGTAGCTGAAAGGCCGGGGGTGGGGTTGGGGGGGCACCACGAGATGGAGGGGTGGTTAAGGGGCAGGAAGCAGGCCGACGGCCGCCGGGAGGACCAAGCTCTCGCGGCGTAGCTCTGGGGATGGCAGACGCCCGGGGAGCCGGGCTGGGCCGGGGATGGAGACGAGGTGCGCACTCACTGTCTCCTCCGCCTGGGGGCTCCAGGACCGAAGCCTCCCGCTGCCGGCTCCTCAGGTCCCGCCCCAGAGCTGCCAGGCCGACGGGATCCGCGCCTGTCCCGGGGCTGCACCCACGCCCCGACCTCCCGGCTTCGCGCCGCCGCGCACGCCCGTTGTCATCTTGGTAGCCCTGGAGTCTTTCCAGCCAGGAGGACGATATTACTACTAAGTAGCATCTTCCTTTATTGCTCCACTGTGATTTTCATTGATAATCTCGTATTCTGCCTTCAATGAACACCCACATATATAATGATATTTTTCCCTTTTTGGGAATGAAATCACCTTTTTTCAATCCAGTTTTTAAAGTCAGGTTTACTGAGGTGTAATATACATTCTGTAAAATTTATCTTTCTTTAGTGTACAGTTCTGTGAGTTCCGACAAACGTATATATCACCACGATTGAAACTAAAACAGTTCTCTTGCCCGAAAGTGTCTTCGTGTCCTTTTGTCCTTCCTCCTCCCACCCACAGCTCTTATGCAACCACAGATCTGTTCTCCCTCCCTATACTGCCTTTCCCAGACTGTCATGTAGAATGGAACCGTTACACTTTGTAGCTGTTCTCTGCCTATTTTCAGTTGTATTTAGGAAAGCAACTTTGATAAATTCATTTTTACCTCTAGTAATTTTTGGTCAATTCATATGTGTTTTCTAGGTATTGTCACTTCATTTTGCAGAAAGCATTTTTTAATTATTTTTACTTCCACCATTATATTTATGTATCTTATCTTGTTTTGTGGTTGTGACAAGCACTTCTATTCATTAGGATGGTAAGGAGTTAGGGAAATCCAAGTGAAAGGATATCTAAATGGAAGACACGGACTCCTTCACTAAATTATACTCATTTTTCAATCTCATCTGCCAGTAACACAAAAATGTTGTTGAAATCCAGCTACTAAATTTTCATCTTCCCTGATGTCAATTAGTTGTTTAATAGGAAGGTGTTGTCTTTTTATATTTTCCACAAATTAAACCCATGGAAACAATCTTTGTTGGAATATTTTCATAGGTTAGAATATTTCCAACTATTAAATACATAAAACTTAGTGTTTTTAGATAGATATCACTTAGTTTTTTTGGCAATCATATAATGATGAAAACACTCCTAAATATTAATTTTCAAAATAGTCTTTCCATAAAATGAGTTCCTTTAGAAAAGCAGTGACTTTCTCATTGTTAAAACGGTATCTTCCTCTTAAAGGGGCAGATGAGTTGCAAGTTAAGGAAAGGACTCTATCATTTTCACTTGTGCTTGTTCTGTTATATTATCTTCAATCTGTGGTTTAGTTACAAGATTCATCTGATAACCCTTCAATCTACCTAACCACACCCAGATAAGCTGCAATAAAACAAACCACTATAAACTTAAATTGAATTATTCTCACTTTTCCCTCATGGTATCTGGTGTGCTGGCCTGTTTCGCTGTGACCATCATGCATTCTGATTGTGAGTTTGTTTTTTTTTTTTTGTCTTACTCTCACCCCTTCTAAATGACAGGTATACTATCTATCTGTATCCTAGGTAGACCAGTTAGGGTTCTCATATCAAGCCATATTTTAAATGTTAGCAAAAACTAATTTTTTACGATAAAAATGAACATACATAGAAATTTACATGTTTTCTTCCCTTACCTCCAAGGAAGGCCTTGTGCATATGGCCACATGTTCCACTTTGAAAGCTACTGGTGTGACAGTTCCAGGATGGCCCAGAAAGGCAGATTTTGGTTCATGATACAGAACCATCTTTCAAGAAGTGGAGTTTTTCCAGGAGGGCCAGTATCCCTAAGTAAAGGACTCTCCAAACATTGGACGCATTCTGGCAGAAGCTAGATGAGCAGCTGGATGATTGCTCACCAGAGACACAGCAGCAGGGGTAAATGGAGGGATTCGATTACTCCCAAGATCCTTTCCTCTTCTAAGAGTTTTTTAGTATTATGTTAAAGACTAGAAATGACAGGTGGCACCCTTACTTCTATTTATAAGGGAAATAACAGGTAACAGAGAGTTAGACTAATAGTCAAAAGACCTCCCATCAAGCTCAGTGACCTTTGGGCAAGTCATTTCATCTCCCTGGCTGTGTCTTTTCATCGGTAAAACATGGGGCCAGAATTTAGTAACTTTTAAGGACCAACAACTCTAATATTCTGGGGTTCTATGACTCTCTCTTCTTCACCAACTATTACGTTCGTTTTTGGGTTTTAAAATATACTCTTTAGAAAAAAATAAATTCTTTTTGTTTATATTTTTATTTATTTGAAATTTAGAAGTTGAATTTTAAATGCCTTTTTGGTATATGTTATAGTGATATAAGATTTTATTATTTCTTATTAATGTAATGTGTTTTGTAGCTATTTTATCAACTTTGCAATTCTGAAATTACGTGAGTTATTATTCAAAATATTTCTCTATTCAATTTTTCTAAGGTTTTTTCCAGTATTTTTACATTCATATTTATAAAAAAGAATCACCTAACTGTTCTTACATCATCTTGCTTTTTGTTTTTTAAAATAAAAATCACATTTATTTCATCGAAGGAATCAGTGTCTTACTATCATTTTCTATATCCTGGGAGTATATGAAAATGATTTGTTCTGTGACAGTTTGGAAAAGTCTAAGGAAAGCTATCATAAGCAAATGCTATTTTTTTTTTTTGAGACAGAGTCTTGCTCTGTTGCCCGGGCTAGAGTGCCGTGGCATCAGCCTAGCTCACAGCAACCTCCTGGGCTCAAGCGATCCTTCTGCCTCAGCCTCCCAAGTAGCTGGGACTACAGGCATGTGCCACCATGCCCCGCTAATTTTTTTTTTTTTTTTTTTTTGAGACAGAGTCTCACTCTTTTGCCTGGGCTAGAGTGAGTGCTGTGGCGTCAGCCTAGCTCACAGCAACCTCAAACTCCTGGGCTCAAGTGATCCTTCTGCCTCAGCCTCCTGAGTAGCTGGGACTACAGGAATGCGCCACCATGCCCGGCTAATTTTTTCTATATATTTTCAGTTGTCCGATTAATTTCTTTCTGTTTTTAGTAGAGACGGGGTCTCGCTCTTGCTCAGGCTGGTTTCGAACTCCTGAGCTCAAACAATCCACCCGCCTCAGCCTCCCAGAGAGCTAGGATTACAGGTGTGAGCCACCACGCCCGGCCTTAATTTTTTATCTTAAGTATTTGTTTCCTGTAATGGTTAGACTAAGTTTTGTCTCCTAAATTGGTGGCCTTTCTTTTTAAAGGTAAATTGAGCCCATTTACATTAATATTATAATTACTGATAAATGTTTATAGAATGCATAAGTGAATGCCTTTGCAGACCTTTCACACCTAGTTTTTTTAACCTTAAGTTAATGTCCATATGAATAATGAGAGAGAAATGTAATCAGATATGCTTAGTTGATGATTTGACAATAACAATATGAACTAAATTGAACTGACTCTTACTTGCTCTTTTTTCTTTTTAATTATTATGAGTACATAATAGGTGAATATCTTTCTAAGGTTGCTCTTTTTTCTTTCAGTGAAAACACTATTTTCTTATGTTAGCTTTCTCTCAATCCCTTCACTAAGTGAAGACCTGAACTAGAACAAGATAGAGCTCCATTTTAAATTCAAACAAAGATATTCGGGTTTGACAACAGACTCATGGTAATATCATTTAACAAGATGAATTCAACGAACATAAACAAATCCAAATGTTAAGGATTTCACCATTGCACAATCCCATGCCACAATCACTCATAACTCATAATTAATCAATTGCCTTCACATTTGGCAGTAACATCATACAAATGAATTTGCTGATGATTAGCAAAAGTACAAAATGACCCAAGGTCACTTAATCAAGGATAACAACAATAAAGAAACCCTAGGAATGCAGGTCAAGGCAAGAGGCTGCAGCTGGGCAGATATGATACCACTTGCCTTATTTTCATTTAGGAATTTGCTACAACAAATAAAATAAGTATCTCCTTTGAGTTACTAGAAAAGAAAACAACCAGGTATTACCTATCACCATTTGGTGACCATCAAATTAAAATATTTCCTAAATGAATGATTAAAATTTTAAAAGTCTTTAAAAAGAATATTAATCATTCTCATGTGTTCACAATAGCTCCATTTTTGATACTCAATATTTGCTTAAGTATTGCAATTAAGAAAATATGGCTTTTGACACATTAAAAGTTCTAAAGCTGGGCACAGTGGCTGGCACCTATAATCCCAGCTACTAGGGAGGTTGAGGTGGGAGGATTGCTTGAGGCCAGGAGTTCCATATCAGCCTGGACAACACAGCAAGATCCTGTCTAAAAAAAATTCTATAGGAAAAACTAAGATGTCTTTTAATTTAAACAATTAGATAGAGCAACTTAAAAAATTCAGTAAGAGGATAGGTTACTCCAATTCAAGGACTGTTTCCAAACTTCAGCCCCCACCTAGCTTCTTTTCAGGAGAAATCGTACATCAACACAAATCTTCAATAACTTAACTTTTGGAGAAGAAAACAGAAAACTAAACCCAGAGCATTATGGTTGTGTAAGATATTTCCTCCTCAGCATTAGGCAAAGAAGTGCTATTGTGCTCTTATATACCATTTTATTTCAACAGATGATTCAACTGGTCTTGTAGATCTGATGATTGTTCAACACTAGAAATTAGAATAGAGAAAGAGTTTATCTGAATGAACAATGAACATATCTCTTTGTACAAACTATTTATATTTTAATGTATAAATACTGTTGCTGCTAAATAAAAATTTATATTGGTCCACTTGGGTCCCAGAAGTGTTTAAACTATGAAGAAAAGTTTGCAATGCCAATTAGTAGTATAAACAATATGGCAAGGGACAAATTTAATCCACTTTAGAAAACAAGGCTATTTAATGGTTTTAGCACATTTACTCTACTTCATGAATATTACTAATGTAAAAGGTTTTCTTTCTATTCCTTAAGGTTGGCCTTTATACCCTGTAACTTTTAGAAAGCCTGTACTAGCAGTGAATTGAGTCACTGCATGCCTTTGAAATATATTGCATTCTTTAAATCCTGAAAGAGCTATTCCAGAGCATATGTCAATTTAAAGACATGTGTTAACCAGAGTTTTATATTGATCCTGGGCCCAGCAGTATAATTCTCCCCAGCCTGCTTCAGTTGGTTTCCTACTCCCCTGCCTTTGGGTTTACTTACTTCTTCTGAATAGCTTCTTGCCTAAATCAGAAAAGAAAAGAGGAAAGTAAACATAAGAAAACCTAGTGAACTAGTTGGCCAGATGTATACAGCATAGGCAGGACAAATTTCCAGCTTATGTCACATTCTACATCTCTGTCAATCCTATCCTAAGACTGTGCTATTGAACAGGGTTTCCTATCTGAGTGCAGAGCTGCTGAAAAGATGGATTCTAAACCTAAAGAGGTAATAATATGTTTTCGGAGTGAGGGATGTGGCCCATCAAACTCCATGCATGGCTCAAATTACATCTGAGTATATGGAGTCAAATGTCACATACCTAATATGTAGACCCCCAAAGAATGAATAGGACAAACAGCTATTTAAATATCAAGAGTTAAATACCCAACCATGTATTTCCAATAGATACATAAGTATAATATCAGCTACATAACATATAAGACATGAAATAAGATGAAAAGCGAATTATAATTTTATGCAAAGTTACAATGGAGAAGGGGTCTCTAGATTTTGAAATCTCCTAGACGACTTATACATAGCTGGTGCTGTGTCATGTGTGGAAATGTAGGATACAGGTTACAGGTACACTTGATTCGCTTGCAGAGGAGCAGACTCCCCAGGAGAGAGTCGAATACTGATGAATTCCCTCATAGGTGATAAACAGGTGGTCCTGGCATGGGCCCTGCCCTTCTGGGGAGTCTCTCCCTCTGAGGAGCCCTCAAATTATTAAATAACATGGGGAGGTTCATAGAAGGTGGCCCTGCTCCTGATCTCACCGCCTACCCCAACTGCTTCTGAGTCTCAGGCATCTTTTCCATCTTTGCCACTCCTGCCTGCACAGGAAAATGTGCTGAAGCACAAAGGCCACGAAAGCAGGCCAAGGGTAATGATTTCGCAGCAAGTAGTTGCTGGAAAGGGCATACTTACTGGTACTGAAGATGTGTTGTTATTATTGCCATTTTCCTTAAACTCTGTATTAAAAAAGAGAGAGAAACACAACATTCCACTTCCCTATAGCCACACAAACTATGTATATAAAACCCAAATCATAAAAAAAATTGTTTCTATTCTACTAAGTAAAGTATCACAAGAATGGAAAAACAAGCACCACATGTACTCACCGTCAAATTGGTATTAACTGATCAACACTTAAGTGCACATACAGTAGTAACATTCATCGGGTGTCGGGCAGATGGGAGCGGGGGAGAGGGGATGGGTATGTACACACCTAATGGGGGCGGTGTGCACCATCTGGGGGATGGACACGCTTGAAGCTCTGACTCGGATGGGGCAAAGGCAATATATGTAACCCAAACATTTGTGCCCCCGTAATATGCTGAAATAAAAAAGAAAAAGAAAAAATTGTTTCTTACATCTTCTGAGTGCAAGATGGCATCTTCCTGTAGTACCATGTTTCGAGCTGCCTGACCTAGCAGCTGGAAGACAAAAATAAAATGGTAATAATCAAAATTCCCAAACTTCCTCTAATCTTCTCTCTATAGCCGTCACACCAATACCCTCTATGCTCCCCCCACCCACTCTTCCACCATACATAACCACAAACACTCAAAATATAATGGAGGATAATTTCCTATTTGTTCATGTTGAAAATTAATTGCATTGACACTATGGTGGTTCTGGCATGGGCTTAACATCTGTTCCAAAAGCTACCACCTTTGCCTTAAACACTGACAAAGAAAAAAAAAAAAAAGCTATCACCTGAGAAGTGAAGCGCATCCTGATTGCTGAGCCCTCTGCACAGTGTATTCACCAGGTGCTGAGAGATGTCTATAAAACCTTTGGCTCCACAAGTCCAGTGAGAGAACCTACCCTCTGATTCTTTAAAGGCAGATTTGAGATTTGTGGTGCTTTGAGAAGGGTGAGGGAGCAGGAGTTGGGACTGGGCTGAAAAGGGCAGAAGGAATGTAGCTGTTTAGAAATGGAATGAAGAGGGGGAGGGAGGCATGGGAAGAAGCTTGGGGCTTAAACTGGGAACCCCCCCACCCAATGAAAGACGGCCAGATGGAGCCAGGGAAGAGAAAAGAAAGGAGAAATGCGTAAGGGAGATTCTAATGAGGTCACTGAGTTCAATGGGCCCTGAGTCCAAGAGAGAAACACTAAACTCTGGATTCAGCTGGGTGGCCAGTGGGTCAAGGCAGAGCTGACAGAGACAGCACTTAGAGGCAGACACCAGCAGAGATTTCTGGCCTAAGGCTGCACTCTGCTCCTGGCATACCTAAATCCAGCCACATAACCATAAAAAAAGGAGCTATTGTTACGTGTATCCTACCAATCCTTCTCTGTTCCCTTGGGCCACAGAGATTCTCAAGGAAAAGAGGGCTGGCACTTCAAATTAACTGGGAACTTCAGCATTGCTGCAGTTCTGAGATTCCTGCCCCTGGGCAGCAACTTTATTTATTTATTTTTCTTTTTAATTTAAATTTTAAAATTAGTAAACCCTTCTGTGCTTCTAAAGTCAAAATGATAAAGTAGGACTTTCCATCTCTGTCCCTTCCATTCCGTGCACTCCCCCATCCCATACATAATTATTTTTATTTTATTCTCTAAAAAAAAAAACCAAGTATTTATGGAGTGCTTACAATATGCCAGTACTCTGGAAAAGAGTACTAATGGGGCTCACCATCTGGAGGGGACATAGGCACTTACAGCACCCTATAGTAAGTGCTGATGGGGAAACACCAGAAGCCCTGGGAGCATGCAGGGAGAGGCAGGGCAGCTAACCCATTGCAGGGGTAGGGGCTCAGCGAGGGCTTCTAAAAGAAGTGACTTCTAAGCTGAGACCTGAACGTTAGGGTTTAGAATTCATCTTATGTGTAATTTTACAGAAAAGTAGCATGATTTATTGTAGTAGTAGTAGATTTATTGTTTTACAAGTATAGTAAGCAGATGCACTAGAGTGGGGACCAAGGGCAGAGACTGGTTAGGAGGACACTGCAGAACTCCAGGCAAACAATGAGGGTGGCCGGAAAGACAGAAGTGGCAACTGGGGGTAAAAAAAAAGGGATGTCATAGAAAATAGACGTTATGAGACTTGTGATTGCCTGCAATGCAGGGGCTGTTATAAGGCCAAGGTCTTTTCCTTGATGATATATTCATTGGCATTCTGCATCATTTTCCTTTTTTTTTTTTCCCTTCCGTGTCAGACTGGCAATGTGCCGACGTCATAGCAAAGTTTGAGGGAGATACATCTCTCACATGCGCATGAACTCTCAACCACCACGCCTATGAACTACAAAAAGATCCCTGCATCACTTTCTTACATAAACCACCAGACATATTACACATCATTTAAGATTTCCAGGCTTGCTTTAAAATGGAAGAACATCCTGAATACACCTATAAACCCTTTTTTTTAACACTCAGATTTCATCATTTTTCATATTGTTTTATTAAATTATGCAGCAGCCATTGCAAGTATAAGCACCATACACACATTGTGTTTAGGAAAAAATACACTGGACCCTCACTAAGCACACAACTCAAATGGAGGGCAGGAGAGCAGGGGTGCAAGAGAGCAGCCTGTTAGTCATAGCGCTCGTTGTGCTGTGGGCGTAAGTCAGTGTGTTTTTCCTTACTCTGTGCTCCAGCCATACTGGCCTCCTTGCATTCCTGGGACACATTCCCATCTCAAGGCCTTCGCCTTTGTCATCTTCACCACTTTGAACTCTCTGCCTCTAGATATCAACAGGGCTAGCTGGCTCACTTCATCCAACTGTCTGCTCAAATGTCACCTCCCCAGAAAGCCCTTCCCTGGCCACCCTGTTTAAGGTAAACCCTTTCATCACTCACTTCATCACTCTCATTCCCAGGTTTATTTTTCGTCACAGCATTTACCGCCACCTGATGGTTTTTCTGTTTCATTTGTTTACTGTCTGTCTCTTGACTAAAATGTAAGGTTCCTTAGTAAAATACCCAAGTGGAGACTGTTCAAGAGATAATGCTCTATGGGTTAAGAGGGATTGAAAATGAATAAGACACTCCAATAACCTCATAGTCTAGTAAAGGAAATGGCAAAAGTACGTAAGTAACTGTAGAATGAAGGAATATTGTATGTTGATAAGTGTCATAAAAGAGATCCAGTAAAAAGATCAAGTCCAGAAAATTGAGAGATGATGTGTCAACGCTGTCCCAGAAAGCTGGATTGATTTCAGTTTAACTCAATCCACACCATTCACTGAGCAACCAATCTAAATCTACCGAGAAGCAGCCCAAGTGAAAAGTTCACGAGGAGGAGGAACAGGAAGGAGCGAGCTACACTGGGGCAATCAATGGTGACATACTGGCTTTTTGGCCATTTAATCCAACCAGTACCACACAGGAGGTAGTATCCAAGAGTGTGAACTTAGAACCAGTATGCCTAGGTTTGAATCCTAGCTCTATTCCCTCCTAGCTAGGTGTGATCTTGAACAAGTTAAATTCCTCTCTATATCCTCTCTGTAAGAAAAGTACCTTCTTTATTAGCAAATCTGAAGACTTAATAATTAAACTATATAAAAGATAGTGGTGTCCTGCACATATTAAATGGTCAATAAATGTAAGTTTTGGCCAGGCATGGTGGCCTATGCCTGTAATCCTAGCACCACGGGAGGCTGAGGCAGAAGGATTGCTTGAGCCCAGGAGTTCAAGAGCAGCCTGAGCAACATAGTAAGACCCTGTCTCTACAAAAAGTAGAAAAATTAGCCAGGCATGGTGGCACACACCTGTACTTCCAGCTACTTGGGAGACTGAGGCAGGAGGATCACTTGAGTCCAAGATTTTGAGGTTGCAGTGAGCTATGATGACACCACTGCACTCTAGCCTGGGCAACTGAGTAAGATCCTGTCTCAATCAATCAATAGAATAAGACCCTGTCTCAAATAATCAATCAATAAATGTAAGTTTGTTATGATGAATATGTTCAATATTTACAGGTAGTTACCTATGAACACTATCTATTTTTTTAAATTTATGTTTTTCCCCAAAAAAGATTCAAGACAATTTATAACAAACTATGTGTGGATTTACACACATACACAGATTTTTTTAAAAACAGAAATAGAGGCTGGAAGCGGTGGCTCACGCCTGTAATCCTAGCACTCTGGGAGGCCGAGGCGAGTGGATTGTTTGAGCTCAGGAGTTCGAAATCAGCCTGAGCAAGAGCAAGACCCCGTCTCTACTAAAATTAGAAAGAAATTAATTGGACAACTAAAAATATATAGAAAAAATTAGCCGGGCATGGTGGCACATGCCTGTAGTCCCAGCTACTCGGGAGGCTGAGGCAGTAGGATCGCTTGAGCCCAGGAGTTTGAGGTTGCTGTGAGCTAGGCTGACGCCACGGCACTCACTCTAGCCCCGGCAAAAGAGTGAGACTCTGTCTCAAAAAAAAAAAAAAAAAACCTAAGGAAGGACACAACACTAAAGCCAATTCTGTAAAGACGAGTCTACTGGGCTCCAAACTAATATGAGTAAAGGTGCTATAAACACTTATACACAAGTCCAAAGACTTGCGGACATACTATGCTTGCTATTTCAACTACATAACTTAATGAAATAATACGGAAACTAATGAAATATAAGTAAAAAGACAGAAAGAATTGCTATCGCTATGAAAACAAAGTTGAAAATAGGAAACACTTATTGAAGTAGATAAGACAAACTGCTACTGAGTTAATGATGAGCAAGACAATGAAAAAGCCTGTGGGGAAGGGGAATAATTAATAGAAATCTAAAAAGATTCTGTGCTCAGATTGTTTTACGGATGTATTCAAGATGTTCCCAAACTGGAAATCTTAGATGGTATGTGCTGGGTTGCTTTATCTAACACAATGATGGACATATGTTTTCATTTATCTTGGGTAAATACCTAGGAGTGGAATGGCTGGGTCATTGGACCCATTTCTTTTATCCATTCACCTGCGAATGGGCATTTGGGTTGTTTCCAGTTTGGCACTATCATAAATAAAGGTGCTAAGAACATGTACAAATCTTTGTGTGGACATATATTTTCATTCCTGTTGAGTGAATATCTAGGAGTTTAAAAGATAAGTCTGTTTTTGGAGAGAGATAGGGTGTACATATATACAACTTTCTGGTGAGAAAAGCTATCAGATAATTCCATCCATGGAACCAGCTGGAGTATGGAGAAGGAAAAAACAGAGGAAAGGAGAAAGCTAATCTAAGAAACAGAAAACCAAGCATGTGCCCAGAAAGACAAATAAGAAAAGAATAAGCCCATAGACAGGTGATGCACAAAAGTGTGGAAAGAACGTGGGTTGTTGAGGGCAAAACCATGAGGAATTTGGGGGCTGAAAGGAACCAGTCTACACTAGGGACAACGCCGAAAAACAAAGAGGAATTGGTTAGGAACACTAGCTCATCTGCCATCTCGCAGCTATCTTTGTTGTAAAGCAGATTCCCACGACATCGTTTCTCTCCCTCCGCCCTCAAGCTGCTAACCCTAACCAAAGAGACTACACACCCCAGAATGCAACACGCACCCTCGGCGAACGAGCCCTACTCTTGTCCCAGGATGCAACGCGACCCTCTTCCCACAGCTATGAAAGACTGCTGCTTCCCGGAGCATTAGGCCGGGCGAGTTCACTCCCAGCTCACCTCGGAGCTCCGGGAGCCCTTCAGCACCTGCTTGGTGAGCGCGATCACGTCAGTACCACAGGTGTTCACCTTCTCCGTGAGAAGCCCCTTCACGGACTGACCAAACCGTGCTTGAGAATCTGGCGTTCCAGTCGCCATCACTTCAACTAGCGAACGCCTCCTCACGGGCGACGGCGAGTCGCGGGGGCCAAAAGGGATGCAAAGCGGAAGAAAAAGAGGATGTGTGTCTGTTCCTACTGTGGGAAAAGGAAGGGACGCATGCGCCTAGCGGAGGTTGCTCTTTGCTCACTTCTATCGTGAGGAAGACAGGGCCAAGGCAAACATCTCTGGAAAGGATGGGGGACAATTTCAGTAAATCTGTGGTTTAGAATCAGAGGTCCTGGTTATCACTCCCAATGCTTCCATTTAGCAGTATGTGAATGCAAATTACTCCACCTCTGTGTCTTACGTTCTTCATCTGTAAAACGGAAGTAATAATGTTAAAGTTTCCAAGTGTTTATGAGTGTGAATTAAGATCGGTCAGTTCAATTTATTGAAAATTTTGTTCAAAATTACCTGTATTCAGTATCAACATTACTTCCTCTTCCAAGTGTGTAGAACCATATGTCTCTGTTGAATCTCATTTAATTTTTGTTCTTAATAAAATTTTTTGAGTTATAATTTAGGTACAATAACTACATTCTTTTAAGGTGTACAATTTGAGTGTGACAGATGTATACAGTTGTGAACCACCACCACTATTAAAATACAGAACATTTCCATCACCCCAGAAGTTTCCAGATGCCCCTTTGCAGTCCATCTCTCCCTCCACCTCTCACTCTAGGCAACAACTGCTTTGCTTTCAGGAACTACAGATTAATTTGCATTTCTAGAATGTTACATAAGTGGAATCATACAGGAAATACTCTTTTTTTGCCTGGCTTCTTTCAGCATGATGGTTTTGAGAATCATATACATTGTTGTATATGTAACCAGTCTGTTCCTTTTTATTGCTGAGTAATATTCCACTGTATGTATATATCTCACTTTGTTTATCCACTCACCTGTTGATGGACATTTAGATTGTTTCTACTTTGAGGATATTATGAATAAAGCTGCTATGAACATTTCTATACAAGTCTTTATGTGGGTTGTTTTCATTTCTCTTGGGTAACTATCCAGGAGTGGAATGGCTGGATCATATGGTAAGTGTTCAACTTTTCAAGAAACTGCCAAGCCATTTTCCAAAGTGTTACCATTTTAAATTCCCAACAGCCAGTGTATGCCACCACAGTTGCTCTACATGCACAAAGTCATGAAAAGAGTGATTGTTCTGTAGCCACGGTAACAAGTAACTGCCTGTGGTAGGCAGACTGGCCACTGACAGGTGGCCTCCGTGATCCCCACCTCCTGGTGTTCATGCCCTTGTGTGAGCCCTTCTCTCCTCTCATGTGTGGGCAGGGTCTGTAACTTGCTTCTAAGCAACAGTATATGCGCCGGTGATGGGAGATACGTGATTACCTTACAGAAGATTGTAAGGCCCATCTTGCTGGAGTCTCTCTCCCTTGCTGGCTGTGAGTGAGCAAGTGGCCATGATGGAGAACTCCACATGGAACTGCAAGCACCATCTAGTCACTAAGATCTGGGCCCCAGCTGACAGCTGGGGGTGGGGAAAGAAGCTCTTAGCCAACAATCAAAAGGAACTGAATGCTGCTAACAACCAGGCAAGAAGGGAAGCAGATCCTTCTCCAGTAGAGCTTCTAGATGAAAACCCAGCCCTGGCCCACACCTTGATTGAAGCCTTATAAGACTCTAAGCAAGTGGCCCAATGAAGCTGTACTTACTTAGATTCCTGATGCATAAAAACTATAAGATAATAAATGTGTATTGTTTTTAGTCACTAAGTTTGTGGTAATGTGACAATGGAAAACTAACATACCACCAGAACTGGTTTGAAATATGTTCAGTCTCTGACAACTCACCTCAGGACCCCCTTTTGCAAACCAAATAATGAAGATCTGCTCCCTCACTTCTCAAAGTCAGTCATTCAAGGACAGATTCATCCCAATAATCACCCCTCTAAGTGCCAATCAATCAACAATAGCCTCACTCAAGTAACCACAGTTCTACAGATAATATCGACTTGCTTACATCCATCAATCTCTGAACTCCACACTTTCCCAAAACCCTATTACGATAAGCAGTCTACTCTGCTTGGAGAGACACCTGCTCTTCCATAGTATAGTAAATAATAAATTCAGTTTTGTCTCTTATTTCAAATATTGAGTTGTAGTTTCATCATCCTTTGACAGTTCTGAAGGTTCCACTAAGATCATTTTGAAGACAGCATTTCAGGAACCCTCAGATCAACAGGTGCACCTACTAGGCCCCTGTGCTCAAACTCCGTCTATCCTTCAAGTCAGCTGCCATGTGAGTCAGTCTGTACAACAATTTCAATTCTGACTAGTGTCTTTTTTTTTTGAGATAGAGTCTCACTC